TAAACTACTTTGTGGTCTTTTACTTATCACGGGGCTTCAGTTTTTCACTTATCACGGGGCTTCAGGGTATAGATCCCCCATGATAAACAAGAGACTACTGTATATTGATTGGGCAGCTTTTTGTGTGATGTGGTGGTTTTTAACAGATTTTTGGGCTGGAAAACCTCATCTCTATCTGGCAACACTGCTCAATAGTATGCGGTTGTGTCAGGAAGGGCATCCAGAATAAAAATAAATGTCTAGTCTTCATGCGAGTTAGTTCACTGCGTGACCCCTGAAGAAGGGAACAGCGGAAAGAAAAAAAATTAGCTTAACATGCATGTTTTTGGTCTGTGGAAGAAAACCAGAGTACCCGGAGAAAATCCATGCAGCACAGAGAGAACATGCAAACTCCACCCAGAAAGGCCCCCAGCTGGGATTTGATCTGGTGACCTTCTTGCTGACAGGCAGCAGCTCTACCAACTGACCCACCGTGCTGCTCTTTGTTAACATATTTCTTAAATATTTTCCTATTGATTTGTTCAAAAAAATTAATAATCCACCATAAAATATGACACTTTTAAGGTGAAAAAATGTGCCTGCACTAGATAACATGAACATTTAAAAAATTTAAATGAAAAGAAAAACATTAAGAAAATTTGAAGGGAAAAAAGAAGATTCTATAGGGTCCTACCAAGGTTTTTTTTTTTTTTTTTTCGCCAAAAGTCACAGTTGCAGCACATTGAGATATTACATTTAAGTAGCTCACCTCCAAATAGGTTATCCTAATAAAATACTAAATTAAACAGTGTTATTCTGAGCCCACTTTATAATGTGAGAAGAAACTTCAAACCTCAGTTAGGTGCTATGAGATGGAGAGCATGACCCGATGAAAGAGGATATACTGTTCTTCATCACAACTATTCAGATACCCTGACATACATTGATCAGTGCAAATTTATTAGTCCTGCAATGGACTTAAACTGATCTTCATGTGTTTAGTTCCTGGCAAACAACCAATGCAGACATGTTCCTGTTTTTAGTTTTCTACACCGCCTTATAATCTAGCCGGGGTTGTTTTTTTTTTTTTGCTACTTTTCATTTTGACTCTTCTTTTGGGTGCTATTTTCTTTTGATTTGCAAAATAAATAAATAATTCAATTTGTATGCCTCTTTTGTGACTGTCTGTTGTTATTCACTGTTGTCATCATTCTTTGTTAAGAAATCAGGTCTCTCTTGTAAAGTCCCCGATGCTCAATGGGACTAACCTGTCTAAATAAAGGTTGAATGAGTCTGTAGTGTGTATATATGTTTTATGAAACATGGCAGCAGCTGTCAAGTTGCTACTTGATTCCTAGTGAAAGTGTCACAACAGAGTCCAGATGGACTTGAAGTGTTCATCAGTGTCCAGTTGTGACTTCCTCCAGCTGTGCTCACTCAGAAGCCTTGTATATGGCAATAGGCCTCCAGGCTGGAAAAAAGAATGTAGAGGAACCAGAGTCCAAAGAGGAGCAAAGAAGTGAGGACTTTGGGGACCTGGGGGCCTCCTAGTTCACCACCAACAGATGGTCTTCGGCGTAGCATTAGTACACCCATACTGAAGAGGCCAAAAATGGTGAAAAGTGTGACAGAGAAGGCCAAAGATCCAGGATCCACATGAAATGCCTTTCCTTTGACCTCCCAGTACACAGCAGCCATGGTCCAGGCCACACCGATGCCCAAAAATACATTAACTGCATTACTTCCTGTCACGTTTCCCACAGATGCGTCTGCATACTGATCCTGGGTGGCAGCCACTTTACTGGCGAAAGTATCTACAAAAATGTTAGAGATTGAGGTTATTTAATAGTTTAAATAATTTCTCACACTTAAATGACATTTGTAATGTTTTGGTATTTGAGTAAACAGAACCTACATACCAGGAAGTGAAGTTCCCAGGGCCACAAAGACAACTGCAGTGACACTGTCTCTTAGGCCAACAGTGCAGCCAAAATGGGAAGCAAGGTCTCCAATAATAGCTGTCAAAACACCGATGACTGAGATTGACACAATAAAGCATGCCCAGCCATTCCAGTACCCGGTGGGTGGGACACAAGCAAACAGAATCTTCCAGAAAATGCAAAGTATGTGCATGAAATAGTCAAAGCAGTTGGGCATTTGCTGTGTTTCTCCCGCCTCATCTTCATCACCTGTTTAAAGAAAACACAAAGATCAATCCTACACCCCAAGTGGGGCGAGATTACAGTAATAACTGAAAACAATAAAACAGACTGTGTTGGCAGTTTGGCAAGTGTCATGGTGAGCTTCATCTTTTAATAGAATGGCTGAGTTAGTAAACCTTAATCCTGCATCTTACTAGACTGCAACTGTAGGAGACTAGTCAGTAACTCCAACTTGCAAAAAAGAAACCATAACATCCAATTCCACTGTTATGCAGATGAAACCCAGCTTTATCCGCCAACCACCTCCACCTTTTCACTGCCTATATGAAATCAAGGATTCAAGGATTTTTTTATTGTCATACCAGCTCACATTTGCATGTTTATGGAACGAAATTCGGACTCAGGTCCCATATCAAGAAACCTAACAATTAACAAATAAATAAATACAAAAGAGTATATATACATATACATATGTCACAGTTTACACTTCTCTGCTTTCCTGGGTTTTTCCTCTGCTGCTTCTACCAGCCTATTTTACATGCGACACCTCTCTCTCTGATTTCTGCTGATGGTTTCCACCTGTTTCTGGGTGTATATATACTTCCTGCTTTCTCCACTACATTGCCAGATCAACTGCTTGCTTCCAGCCAGTTATCCAGCGTACTCTCTTTGTTCACAGCTCTTTAATCTGGATTCACGCCTGTTTCCCTCGACCACGCTTTTTGCCTCAGCCTTCTGACCTTGTTGATGACCTATGCCTGTTTTTGGATTTCACCTTTGCCTCTCCCTATCGCCTTTGCCTCTCTCTATCGGTACTGTCTCCTCTTCAGATTTCTTGTATGAACCCTGCTCATACTCGACTACGCCTCTGGACTTCTCTTGGTCTCTGCAGCTCTGTGTCTCCGCTGGAGCGTCCCGTTACAACAAGAAAGGTTAGTGTTTCATCAGACAGTCTGTATTCAGATAACTACTCGTTATTCTGTCAAACACTAACCTTTCCCCTCTGTATCATTTTAGATACTTTTCCTGCCCCTGGACCTGAGACACCAGAAACTGTTTATTTACTCAATAAACATTTTAAAAACCTTTCTGAGTCTGCGTGTAGGATCCTCTGCCATCAGATCTCTGACAGATTGATCTGGCCAAACATGGATCCTACACCAGGCTCAGAATGGCACTCTGGTGTGGAAGGTGCCATCGGTAAATTAGAGACCGGCATGAATGAGATCATGAACATGCTTAAGATTCTAACTCCTCACTCTAACCCTCAGGACTCAAATCATGCCGGCAGTCCTGCATATGCTGGAACCACGAGTAACCCACTCCGGGAACCACGGTTGGCTCCACCAGAACTATTTTCAAGGGCACCGGACCAGTGCCGCCCGTTCCTAACACAATGTGAAATTCATTTTCAGCTCCAGCCCTCAACCTTCCCCTCTGAACGTGCTAAGGTGGCGTATACCATGTCCCTCCTGTCTGGAAAAGCTAAGTCTTGGGGAACGTCAGAATGGAAAAAGATTCAAGGTACTGCTACTCGTTTCATGAGTTTTCTAAAGAGCTGTGCAGAGTTTTTGACCCCATCCTTCCCGAAAGAGAGGCTGCTCGTGGACTGTTTTCAGTGAAGCAGGGAAAACAAAGAGTAACTGAGTACATTATAGATTTTCATGCTACGGCTGCTGGTAGTAAATGGAACGAAGAGGCACTAACTGATGCTTTCTACCAAGGGTTTAATGAGGAGATCAAGGACAACCTGGCAACCAAGCGATACCCGGACTCACTGCAAGACCTAGAGGAATTGGCGACAAGGGTGGTTCTGCGCTTGATGGAGAGATCCCGAGAACGAGCTGAGAGATCCAGCAGAGACAGAAGACCCCTTGAGGAACCCAGAGAGGCGCCCAGACGGCTTCCCCTGGGACCCCCCTCCTCCACCATGTCCACAAGAGACACCACCACAAGAGGAGCCCATGCAGATTGGATGCAGCTGTCTTACTCCAGAGGAACGTGAGAGGAGACGTCGGAACCGGCTGTGTTTCTACTGTGGCCAGGACTCTCACAACGTCTCTAACTGTCCGTTAAAAGGCCAGACTCAGCAAAGAAGAGGAGACTCCTGCTGAGTCAGGCCCAGAATCCAGTAATCTCCTCACCCTTCACGTTTCTAGCTGAGCTGTCCACTTCTGGTAAGACCTGCACCTCCATTAAAGTACTCTTAGACTCAGGGGCCGACTCTGAGTTCATGGACCTTCAGTTTGCCCAAGAACGAGGAATAAAACTGTTTAAATCCCCTAAACCACTGTCCATCGTAGCCTTATATGGTCACCCTCTTCATGACTCCTCTTTAATCTCCGAACCTGTGACTTTAACCATAGGGGGTAATCAAAAAGAGACATTACAGTTTCTTATTATCAAATCACCCCACTCTCCAATGTTTTATGTTATGAGTGCTTAGTGTATATTTAGTTGATGTTTTTCTTAGTTCATATCTTAGATGTTATTACTGTTTTTCTTAGACATTTTATTGTTGGATGTAACTGGGACCCCGTGTACATAATTTCGCTCCACCACATGTACCACATGAGGTGCGAATGACAATAAAGAAACTCTGACTCTGACTCTGACTCCTGTAGTCCTAGGGGCCACATGGCTTTCAAAACACAACCCACATATTAAATGGCAACAGAAGGAGATTGTGGGTTGGTTTGATAACTGTTTGTCATCTTGCCTCTTTGATGTGGTCATTCCCTCAATGTCCAAGAACAATATTAAAGAGACTTATTCAGATCTTTCTACAGTTCCAGAGGAGTACCTTGACTTGAAGGAGGTTTTTAACAAAGTCAAGGCCACCTCTTTACCACTGCACAGGTCTTATGATTGCCCTATTGACTTGGTTCTTGGTTCTACTCCCCCTAAAGGGGCCCTGTACTCTCTGTCTACTCCTGAACAAGAAGCCATGCAGGAGTACATCAAGACCTCGCTTCAAGCCGGCATCATCAGGCCTTCTACCTCTCCAGCAGGAGCTGGTTTCTTCTTCATGGGGAAGAAGGATGGATCCATAAGACCCTGCATAGACTATAGAGGGTTAAACAAAATAACCATAAAAAACAAATACCTTCTCCCGTTAATGTCATCCGCCTTTGACCTTATCCAAGGCGCTTCATTTTTTACCAAGCTCGACCTCCGTAATGCGTACCATCTGGTGCGCATACGTGAGAGAGGTGAGTGGAAAACGGCCTTCAATGTACCCAATGGTCATTATGAATATTTGGTCATGCCTTTTGGCTTGACCAATGCCCCAGCTGTGTTCCAGTCTCTGGTCAATGATGTCCTGAGGGACATGGTTAATCAGTTTGTTTTTGTTTATCTGGACGGTATTTTAATTTTCTCCAAGGACCTAACCTCACACAAGAAACATGTCAGATCTGTTTTCACCCGGTTATTACAAAATAATTTATTTGTCAAAGCTGAAAAATGCAATTTCCACCAGTCCTCCACATCTTTTCTCAGTTTTAAGATTTCACCCAATTTAGTTGAAATGAATAGCGACAAGGTGTCTGCAGTACTAGATTTGCCAGTACCCAAAGACCGGAAACAACTGCAGAGGTTCTTGGGGTTTGCTAATTTCTACCGGAGATTTATTAAAGACTATAGCCTCATTGCTAATCCCCTCCATGTTCTCACCTCCTCCAAGAAAAAGTTCCTATGGACAGAGACAGCTGATTTAGCATTTAAAGAATTAAAGACTTTGTTTTCTTTTGCCCCTGTTCTCCATACCCCCAACCCATAAGTACAATTTATCGTTGAGGTAGATGCATCTAGTGTGGGTGTAGGGGCAGTGCTTAGCCAACAAAATAAGGAAGGAGTTATTCATCCCTGTGCTTTCTTCTCCAGAAGCCTATCGCCAGTTGAGCGAAATTACGATGTCAGAGAACATGAACTGATCGCTGTTAAGCTGGCGCTGGAGGAGTGGAGGCACTGGTTAGAGGGCGCCCAGTTCCAATTCCAGGTTTGGACCGACCATAAGAACCTCAAGTACCTTAAGTCGGCCAAACGCCTCAACCCTCAACAAGCCAGGTGGGCACTTTTCTTTTCCCGTTTTAACTTTGCCCTCTCCTATAGACCCGGTCACAAGAACACAAAACCTGATGCCTTCTCTCACATCATGGAGGAGGATTCTTGTTCCTTGCCTCCTCCTGTCAGTGAGTTTATCCTTCCCAACTCTGCCCGCCTGGCTGTCACTCAACTGGAGCTGGACCTACGACAGGCCAACCAGTTACACCCTCCTCCAACCGCCTGTCCCCCTGACAGATTATTTGTACACCCTGAGTTTGTCCAGGAGTTCCTCAAGTTTTGCCACAGCTCCCGCCTAGTTTGTCATCCTGGTTTTTCTAAGACTATTTCCTTAGTTCGCGCACAGTTCTGGTGGCCCACATTAAACCAGGACGTGCGCTCTTTTGTTTTATCCTGTCCTGCCTGTTCCCAAGCCAAGTCCTCACAATGTCCCCCCTCTGGTCTCTTCCATCCACTTCCTATCCTGTCATGCCCATGGTCCCACATCAGTCTAGATTTCATTACTGGTCTTCCTCCCTCTGCCGGCAACACTGTCATCCTGACGATTGTTGACCGTTTTTCCAAGATGGTTCACCTGGTCCCTCTTCCCAAGCTTCCCTCAGCCTAGACCCTGGCTGGGATCATGTCATGTGAGGTCTTTAGCCTGCACAGTCTGCCCACAGATATCGTTTCTGACAGAGGACCTCAGTTTGTCTCCAAGTTCTGGAGAGAATTTTGCGACCTCCTGGGGGTCTCCATTAGCCTCTCCTCTGGCTTTCATCCCCAGACTGATGGCCAGATGGAGAGGGCGAACCAGGAGGTTGAGGCCAAGCTGAGGATCCTCTGTCAGAAAGATCCCCACCTGGTCCCCCAACCTCTCCTGGGTCAAACACGGCCTCAACACTGTCCCTTCCTCTGCTACCGGTCTGTCCCCTTTTTACATGGTTTTTGGTTTTCAGCCCCCTTTAATCACCACCCAGGAACGTGAAGCTCAAGTGCCCTCTGCTCACCAGTCAGCCTTACGCTGCCAACATGTATGGCGGAGAACCAGACGAGCCCTTTTGCAGACCTCCACAGCCTACGTCAAAGGGGCTAACCGGCGGAGGTCTCAACAACCCACTTATCGGGAGGGCCAGAAGGTATGGCTCTCCACCAAAGACCTCTCATTAAAAGTAGAATCACACAAACTTGCTCCCCGTTTTATTAGCCCTTTCCCCACATCCAAAGTCATTAACCCAGTTTCTGTCTGTTTATCGCTACCCAAATCCATGAGAATCAACCCATTTCACGTATCCAAAATCAAGCCCTTTTTGCCCTCCCATTTTTTCACCCCGCCCGGCTCATTGATGGGGCATTCGCCTACACTGTGCACCGACTCCTCCGCTCCAGGAGATGGGGCCGAGGAGTCCATTACCTGGTCAACTGGGAGGTATACGGCCCAGAAAAATGTTCTTGGGTCCCCTCCCATCACATCATCGACAAGTCCCTCGTCAGGGACTTCCAGCGCCTTCACCCGGACAAACCTCGGGGTGCATCAGGTTCCACGCCTTAAGGGGGGGGGGATCTGTCACAGTTTACACTCTGTTTTTTCCTTTTCTCATCACTCTGTTCACTGTTCAACTTTTTCTTCTCTGCTCTCCTGGGTTTTTCCTCTGCTGCTTCTACCAGCCTCTTTACATGCCACACCTCTCTCTCTCTGATTGCTGCTGATGGTTTCCACCTGTTTCTGGGTGTGTATATATACTTCCTGCTTTCTCCACTACATTGCCAGATCAACTGCTTGCTTCCAGCCACAGTTATCCAGCATACACTTTTTGTTCACAGCTCTTTAATCTTGATCCACGCCTGTTTCCCTTGACCATGCTTTTTGTCTGTCCCTTTTGTGCCTCAGCCTTCTGACCTTGTTTACGACCTACGCCTGTTTTTGGATTTTGCCTTTGCCTCTCTCTTTCAGTACTGTCTCCTCTTTGGATCTCGTGTATGAACCCTGCTCATCCTAAACTACGCCTTGGACTTCCTTGGTCTCTGCAATTCTGTGTCTCCGCTGGAGCGTCCCATTACAACAAGAAAGGTTAGTGTTTCATCAGACCGTCTGTATTCGAATAACTACTCGTTATTCTGTCAAACACTAACCTTTCCCCTCTGTATCATTTTAGATACTTTTCATGCCCCTGGACCTGAGACACCAGAAGCTGTTTATTTATTCAATAAACATTTTAAAAGCCTTTCTGAGCCTGCGTGTAGGATCCTCTGCCATCAGATCTCTGACACACACACACACACACACACACACACATATATATATATATATATATATATATATGGCGTAACTGGTAGAGCTGCTGCCTCTCAGCAAGCAGGTCCTTGGTTCAAATCCCGGTCCGGGGCCCATTCTGGGTGGAGTTTGCATGTTCTCTCCATGCATGCGTGGGTTTTCTCCGGGTACTACGGTTTCCTACCATAGATCAAAAACATGCATGTTAGGCTGATTGGTAACTCTAAATTGTCCCTAGGTGTGAGAGAGTGAATGGTTGTTTGCCTTGTTTGTCTCTATGTGGCCCTGTGATGGACTTGCGACCCATCCAGGGTGTACCCTGTCCCTCGCCCAGTGATTGCTGGACATGGGCACCGACGACCCTCGTGACCCAAAATGGAAGAGGTGGGTTAAAGATAATGGATGATTAGCTGTTCCCCACAGTATTCTGTGCAGTCTTAACCACCCTCTGCAGAGCCATCCTCTCAGTAGCAGTGCAGCTGCAGAGATATCTTTCCACCACACATCAATAGAAGCTCCTCAGGACAGAGCTCCCAAGTCCAACTCTCTGCAGCTTACTGAGGAAGTTGAGATGCTGGTGGGCCTTCTTGACCAGACAGGAAGTGTTCTCACATCACTGGATGCATGCACCCCCAGTTACCTGTAGCAGGAGACTATCTTCACAGCTGCTCCTCCGATGTGTAGGGGATGAAGAGGATCCTTGTCCCTTCTAAAATCCACCACCATCTCCTTGGTCTTCTTCACATTGATACAGAGATTGTCTCTGTACCACTGCACCATGTGTTCCACCTCCTGTCTGTATTTGAACTCATCATTGTTCGTGATGCGTTCCACTACTGCTGTGTCATCAGAAAACTTCACTATATGGCTGTTGGAGTGTCTAGCTGAGAAGTCAAATGTCAGCAGAGTGAACAGGATAGGGCTCAGCACACAGCCCTGGGGCAAGCCAGTGCTGAGGGTGATGGAAGAGGAGAGGATGTTGTGGATACTGACAGTTTGAGGTCTGTTGGTCAGGATGTCCAGAATCCAGTTCCCCAGTGTGAGACTCAGTACAAGAAAGGAGAGCTTCTGCTTGTGCATCCCTGACGTTGTAGTTCATAATGCAGTAATGCACTGGATGCTCTTCCACATGCGCCGGGGGTCATTGGTGATGAAGTGACCCTGACTTTTCTGGGAGTATATGGCTTTGGCCCTTGCAATGCCTGTAGTCAGTCTTTTCCTCGCCTCTCGGATTGCTGATGCCTCACATGTCCTGAACGCAGCGTCCCTAGCTTTCAGCAGAGCTCTCACCTCAACATTCAGTCAGGGTTTTTGAATTGGATAACAGATTATTGTCCTAGTGGTGATGACATCATCAGCACACTTGGAGATGAAGCCAAGAACAGAAGAGGTGTATTCCTCCAGGTCCACCTCTCCCTCTTATGTAGCCACCTCTCTGTATACCTGCCAATCTGTGCACCGAAAATGTAGCTGTCTTCTTTGTTGGCCTAATTCGTCTCATCAGCGGACGATATGCTTGCGCCAGCAGGATTGAGATGTGGTCGGAGAGGCCAAGATGGGGGCAAGGAAGAGCTCTGTACGCACCATAAATGTTAGTGTGCACACAGGTCAGATAATGGTTCACCAGCAACTTCATTAAATTGAACAGTGACAAAAATGAAGTTCTTCTCATTGTCACCAAATCAACCCTTGCAAATACTAGTAACTTTTCCATTCTCGTCAACAGCACCTCTGTTTCCCAATGGCCCCAGGTTAAGAGTCTGGGTCTCATCCTAAACAATACATTATTTCAAACCCGTGTCTGTAATATCACTTGTTCAGCTTACTTTCACCTTTGTTATGTTATTCGCCTCCATCCATCTCTGTCACCCAACTGCTATTCTGGCTGACACATTGGTCACATCTCACCTAGATTTCTGTAACTCCCATTATTTTTGTTTACCTGCAGAATCCATCCATAAACTCCAGCTGGTCCAAAACCTTGCTGCTCGCATCATCTCCAGAATTCCTTCCACCAGTCATATAACCCTTGTCCTCCAGCATCTTTACTGGATCCCATTAAATATTGTATTTCATACAAAATCCTGCTTTGCACCTTCAAAAACCCTCAACAACTTTGCCCCTCAGTATCTCACAGAACGCCTACACATCAACACACTCTATTGCACTCTCAGGTCCTCCTTCCTCCCAACTCACCCAGTCTTCCTGTTTGACCACTATGGGCTCAAGAGCATTCAACCACTCAGCACCCCACATCTGGAACTCTCTCCCCCTGGACATCAAAACCTATCCCACCATCTGCACCTTCAAATCCCACATCAAAATTTTTCTCTTTAAATAGACGTACTCATTCTGACCTCCTCGTGGTAACTGTATTTAAGTTATGTTATGCATGATGTTTATATTGCTATTTTTTTCATTTGTTGTTTTTATTGTACAATGTCCTTGAGTGCCATAAAAGGTGCCTTCAAATAAAATGTATTATCATTATTATTATTATTATTATTATTATTATTATTATTATTATTAATAAAAAAAAAGTAAATTTCATCTGCAGTCTTATTGAATTCTGAACGTTTGCAACCAAGTGACCAGCACACCATGGAACTCTGTTTCACACAGCCAATTCTTAAAAATCACAGTCTACTTTCACAAATACAGCTTGAAAACTGTATTTTTATAATGTAATATCCATAACTATATTTTTGGCTGCATGTATGATTCTGCTCCCCACCCTCACCCACATCATGCCCACCTTGTAGGTCACTGAAATGCACTTTAAAATTAAACTACTGTACACAGATTTGGACTATTTATTTATTATTAATAATTGTAACAAGTAGAAAAGGAGCATTTTAATCAGGGCTCTAAGTGTCTTTTATTGGAATGATAAATCATATTTAGAGTATTTATTACTCTTTTATTTTTCAGATCTCAACAAAAACGCAAGATGTTTTTTATAATGTGGAAAATTTAATTATACTTCAAATGACTAAAGAGACTAAATTTACTGTTTCTAGAATTTATTTAGAAATGTTAAGAAATCAGAATAAAATAAACAAAACTATAAACCATTCAAATAATGAAATTAAATCAACACAACAAAATAAAGTCACTTGCATTTCAGTGGAAAAATAATGATATTAGGTTTCAAGTGATCAATTCTAATTTAGACCATAATAATAACTATAATAATGATGATGATGATGATAATAACAAACAAGTTAGATTCTATATGTTTATTAATTTACCAGTAGTGTGATTAATGTTACTTGTACACCAGGAATTAAAAGAAAACCTTGTTAAAAACTGAAGTAAATTGGATTGAATATATTACACAACATCTAATCCTTTAATCGTTTCAGCTCAGTTAAGCTTGTTTCAATTTTTATCTGATATGTAAACAGTTACCTCCACATAAACATGACTATTAAAACATTCTGTTTGTTCTGAATTTTAGACTTGAAAAAGAAATGTTTCATGTTTCTGTATTTCTAAGAACCAGTCACTGACCTGCACTGAGCGTCACTGCTTCAACGAACTGCTCCCTCCACGAGCAGGTGCCGATCACCATGGCCAGATTTGTGTCTTTGAGGAGTTTGTCCACGGTGCCCTGGTCCAACAGAATGATCATGTTTAGATTTTTTTAAATTTTGAATTAGTTGAAACAGTCATAAAACAAATCAAACCAACACAACGACTCATGAACTCACTGTATTTTACATTAAACATTGACACTCATTGATAACACTGCTGTGATGCACAACCTGAAAACATTTGGGAAGAATCGCAGCACACACTCATGCACACGTACATGCTGGTATCCAAACACTTTATCAGCAGAGTCAAACACATGCAACAGCAAACTGGAGAAAACTGTACCTGGTCTATTACTCCATTGGGTGTCTGATGTGTGAAAAGGTGGTTAATGAACAAAAACTTTTTCATAATTCAAGTGACATGTGTCATCTTTTAGATTACTGTAAAGCTTTAATTAAAATTATCCACTTTCAACAGTCTCAAAAGTAATAGTTAGTTGTTTTATTTAGTAATCCATTTCACCAAATAATAAACTAGACCAGGGCTATTCAACAAAACTGCTCAGTGGGCGACAGTTTCTTAAAGCCAGCAGCTCGGGGGCCGGACATCCAGCGATTAAAGTCATTATGTGAATAAACCAAGTTTTACAATGATCTGGTACCTTTTACATTTGTTTATTGTATTGCATTTAATCATAAATACAATAAACAGAACCCCAAAACCCAAACCCAGAAGCCCCACCCCCAATTTTTATTAATGTTTTTAATGAAGTGGACCAGATTGAAGTCACCCGCGGACTGGGAATGGGCCGCAGGCCGCCAGTTGAACAGCCCTGAACCAGACCGTTTTCATTCACAAACCTTAAAGCTGCATGCTTCTTCTATTATGACTTCCACCCTGCTATGTTCTCCTAGAATGGGTTTACCCATTTCAGAAATTCTCCTGGCTTCTATCTCCTCCGGTGTGGGGTTTCCTGTCAAGGAGCACAGACTTTCATTGTATTGTCTACCATGAACTTGTGAAAATGCACACGATATCTCATGCGGAAGTTTGCGGCAGAAACAATAAGTTACACGACGGACCATGAAGCTACAAGGGACACCTGTACTGTTCCTTCAGTGCTACCAAGGATGGCCCATGACTGGTTGGAACTTCTCTGAAGGCGTTCTCTTTGGAATATAATTCCTTTTCTTCAGTGAACTAGGAGGCTGTCATGGGACACCTCTTAAATTTCTTCTTCAAGATTTAGTCCACAATGATGAGTCTCTCGGCCCACTGTGCTTGTTCAGGATGGGAGACTGCAACGAAGCCAAGATTCAACTTGTCTGCTGGATTCCTTAGATAGAGAACTTTACTAACTGGATTTTATGTGAATGTTCCTGTAAAGTGCCTGAGACAACTTTGCTGTGATTTGGAGCTTTATAAATAAACTGAACTGAATTGAATGGTCACCAAGTTGTGATGGCTGACCCCACCAAAGTTTCCTCTGATGGCTCATGGAGTTGGTTTGTAGGGACTCGATGGCCATCTGGACTGGCACTGAGTCCGAGTGGGGGAATATGTAGCATGAAGCTGCACTGCTCTAACTATGACCCCTGACCCTTGGGTGTCTTCCAGACTCACCATGAATTGTTTTCTTTAAAGTTCAATTTGACCTGAGTAATATCTGATGTTTGTCCACATGTCCGGTCCTTGGACACACAGTCAGCTACAGTCCGACTAATGTTCATCTTATTTTTGCTGTTTCTAAGAAAGAAAACCAAATCATTGATGAAGTTTGTTTTATTTCGTTAACAAGTGTGAACATGAATCATTTTCATGATTGTTTTCGGTCATCATAATGAAATAATATGAAATATTATGATGTGAATAACGTATTTCTTTCTCCTGTTTTTCAGAAGATAACTTGTTCCTTCAGAGACACCGGTATTAAAAGCTCATCGAGCCGGAGCGCTTAGCTTCAGAGGGGAAGTCAAAATAATCTTCTCAGAGCTGTTGCTTTGCACAAAGACCTTTGTGTGAAAAGTGGTTCGTTTTGGACCATGACCCGGGCAGTTTGCCTTGGACTCCCAAACCCAAGGCCGGATTAACCATATGGGCAACTTCCCAGGGGCCCACGATCTCCAAGGGGCTGTCACGATCCTCAGTGTTGGAACCCAAATGCAGAGAGGCGAGCGAGGCAGGAGTTCAAAAACAAAAACAATTTATTTCAATAACAAAACAAAAAGCTGTCGGTGCAGCAAAACTTACTTGGGCAACAGGATCAGGAACAAGGCAAAGCAGATGATCAGGTGGACAAGAAACAGACAAGATAGAAGAGGACTGAGATGTCTGTAAACACAGAACAATCACCGGACAAAAAGTGAAGGAGAGACAGGCTTTTTATGAGACAGAGGGAGAGTGAGTAACGAGAGCACCTGGGCAGGTGGCTGATGAGGGACAGGTGTGAATGATAAAGATTGAGTGGAGAGGCAGACTGAGGAGTGAGTGGAAAATAACAGAATCAGATAAACAGAAAATCACACACAGAGCAGAACAACAAAAATATAAAGAGCAGACAGAGACAGAACCTAGAAATGGAAGGAAATGATTTAGTTTGTGGGATGATTGTTTGACGATATAAATGTTGGTTCCTGGTTGCAGCTTGAAGGAGAAGGCAGAGGCTTAGGCAGATGGGGGGGGCAGCGGGGGCCGCTGACCGTGACATAGCCCCCCCTTAAAGGTCCGGCATCCTGACGGACCACCAAAGAAAAAGAACTAACAAGGACCGGGCGGGTGGAGGGGGCACCGGAGGTGGGCAAAAGGCAGGTTGGAGGTCCGAAGGGACCATCGTTCAGGGGGGCGGCCGGGACGCCGTCCAACACGGGACCATCGTTCAGGGGGGCGGCCGGGAGGCCGTCCAACACGGGACCATCGTTCAGGGGGGCGGCCGGGAGGCCGTCCAACACGTAGGACCTTGGAGGCCGCAGCTGGCGGCGTAGACACCTTGGAGACCGCAGCTGGCGACGTAGACACCTTGGAGGCCGCAGCTGGCGACGTAGACACCTTTGAGGCCGCAGCTGGCGACGTAGACACCTTGGAGGCCGCAGCTGGCGGCGTAGAAACCTTGGAGGCCGCAGCTGGCGGCGTAGAAACCTTGGAGGCCGACTCTGGCGGCGTAGGTGACGAGGAGGCCGTGTCTGGCGGCGTAGGCGACTTGGAGGCCGCGTCAGGCGGCGTAGACGACTTGGAGGCCGCGTCAGGCGGCGTAGACGACTTGGAGGCCGCGTCCGGCGGCGTGGACGACTTGGAGGCCGCGTCCGGCGGCGTGGACGACTTGGAGGCCGCGTCCGGCGGCGTGGACGACTTGGAGGCCGCGTCCGGCGGCGT